ACCACCGTTATTGGACTTTTAAATAAATAATAAAATAATTTATTAATTTTAAAATGAAAAAGATATTGGACTTTCGCAAAACCACACCCACCCCCACAATTGTCTGTCTTATGTATGTTTATGTCCTCGCGTTAAATGCTTGGAAACCAAAAATCTAAGGATTCCAATTCTAGTGAATCCCGCCTCATCCTCCCCTCTCTGTATTTTTGGTGAAAGTTCCATACCATCCACTACATATCGCCAAACCCCGATTCTCTTGTAAATTCATGATTCAAGTGTAGTCTACACACACGAATGCGGATATAAATTCGTTCAATAGATTCATAATAATCTTGATGGGTTATCTTTCTTGTAAAGCAGAATCTGCTATCTCAACTGCCAATTCCAAGACTCCCTCTTCAACCTTCTCCATGAAATCCCAGTACTATGTTGTCAAAATTAATTGATAGTATATGGAGTGGAATGGGGCTATCATATACCGTATTTGTGTTTTAAACACCGGAATCACGCTTACCGTATTTGGCAATTGCTTACCGTATTTAACAGTTTAATTCACTGTATATGGCAGCTTACCGTATATGCCAGGCAGCTTACCATATTTGGCAGCTTACTGTATATATCAGGCACCTTACTGTATTTGCACCTTACAGTATATGATGCCTACCGTATTTGTAGAAAGCTCATCGTATATGGCAGCTTACTGTATTTGTAGGCGAAGCTCACCGTATTTGCACAAAATTTGCATAAAGTGTTATTATTCATACACTAACTAAAATAACACAAATTTTTTCACTTATAAATAGAAATATCGTATATGTGAAATCTATTTTTCACACATATAACGAATGAGGAAAAAAATAGTTTATTTTATTTATCTATTTTTAACATAAATTTAATAAACAATATATGAGTCAAATATGTTGCAAATGTGTAAGTCGTTAAATAAATAAATCTGCAAAAATAAAATGCAAACTAAATAAATAGCAGATAAATTTTCAACCCGAGGCTTGTGGAAACAGTTTTCTTAAGACAAATTCGCCTCCTCACCGTATTGCTAGAGGTTTTGTTCGAGCGCCTGTCTCCCAGGATACAACGGTAACCAGTAGAATCCGAGCATCGCGGTTCTACTCCGACGAACTGGGTGAGTGTTCGAACAATATCACCTTACTGGAATGGACACGGGAGGAGACAGAACAAAAACAGAAAATAGAACTGTATCTGAGTTTAAACTGCTAGAAATTGTAGACGAAAATTTCAGTATGTGAACTGCTGGAAATTTAGTGAAATTATATAGGCTAAATCTGACCATTAGTTTCTGCATTAACCATTGCAGTTTTTGGAGTTACACTTCGATTTCGACCATTGGAGTTTTAGACACTCAAAAGTCATTTGGAAAAACCATAAAAAAATTGTAAAACACGGACAATCCAAACTGGCCAGTTTTTGCTCTGTTCGGTTCAACATTCGTGTGCGCAGGTCATGCCCAAGTTCAAGATCCGAAGGCTATTTCTGTCCGTGATTTGCACCCCTTCCCTGCGCGCGCACGTGGAGAGAGCCTCTATACTACACATGATCACACCATTTCAATGCATAGTCATATATAAAGTGGTTTTGGTTTCCATGTTTTCCCTATGTGGGAGAAAGTTAACTATAGTTTTCCCACCAATATAGACCATTTCCAATGGTCCACTTTAAACTCCAATTTCTCATTCACTCGAGCTTCATTTTTGCCAAATAAATACATGACTTCGATATTCTCGCGGAGGAGAACACATATCAACTTTGATATTCCAAATTGAACCAACGGGTCTCATCGAAAATTGTGCCAAAAGTGAGTTATTCACTCATTTTTTCCAACATACTATTCTGAGAAAGAAAAGGAAAAGCCCATCAGAATCCTATAACTTAACTACGAAGATCTTCAATCAGCTACTAACAATTTTTCCGACCAAAAACCATGGCCTTGTTTAAGAAGTCATTTTTTTTCCTGGTAGAGATAATCAGAGAGCAATGACGGCCGCCCAGGCTCGTCGAGTTCTAGCCCGAACCCTGCATGTATATACTAACTACTTTGATTGTCTGATCTTCTACGAATCATAGCGAATATTAAGTTTTACACTACTGATACATACGGTACTGAAGACATTTCTATCATTCTTTGATGAAGTGCTGGAATTCATAGTTGAGGATAATCTATAATTGGCATGAAATGGGTAGAGAATGACTTATAGTCTTGCATGTTGAAATGTCACAATTGACAATACCTTCTCCTATTATAAAGCATTTTTTTTTTCTTTTGGATTTTTCCCCCTCGCCAAATTTGCATCTTTAGAATCTTGTATTTTTCATTTCAGTGAATTTGCGTGCATGGAATCTTGTTTGTTGGTTTCAAACCTTTATATCACAGATTCTATCTTAGACATAAGGCTGATCCGACTTTTAAGTATTCAAACTCATTTAAGTAAATACCCAACTATAGCTATTTCTCATTTAAAAGATTTCAACGACAAAAATAAAAAATAATTTTTTTTATATAATTAAAAATAAAAAAATATAGAACTAAAAATATACTATATAAATGTAGAGTTTTAAAAAAATCTAATTCAACATGTTCATATCCTACTTTTTTATAACCGTGGGTCAATGTGTCCATGCCCATGTAACATAATTCCTTCGGAATTGTGCTAAGAAATTCTTGACAATTCCGTTACTAAGGAGAAGTCTCTTCTCCTCTTTTTTCTAATTGACACTGAAATCCTACGTTGAAGCAAATCCATAATCTCACTTATTTCACTCCTTTTCTTAGACATTAGCAATAAACTAACCACTTGGCTAATTGTCAACGACCACAAAACTTCACAACCATAATTTTCAAACGAGAATTCCTCTCCATCCCGTGCTTTTAGCTCCCTTCGCAGTCTCTGGTTCGCAATTTTCTGTATAAATATGTACATCCCTCAGTGATATTCGATAAGAAAAATTAAACTACAAACAAAATGGTTGGAAAAATTATGTCTTGTATTGCCGTGGAGGCAGTTCTATTGGGCATTCTTCTGTACATCCCCATTGTACTTTCTGATGATAGAGCACCTATTCCATCAAATAGTGCTCAATTAAACAGTTGGTTTGATGGCATTATTCAACCAGTAGCTGTTCGGAAAGCAACCATGGACCCGGCCTTAGTCACCGCGGAGGGGCAAGCCAAGCTGATAAAATTGAAAAGCGATGGAAGTGGCGATTTCAAGTCGATCAATGAAGCGATAAAGAGCATTCCCGATGACAATACTAAAAGAGTCATTTTATCGCTTGCACCTGGAAACTATAGCGAGAAAGTCAAGATTGGAATGTATAAACACTATATCACCTTCTATGGGGAAGATCCAAATAACATGCCAATTCTGGTGTTTGGTGGAACAGCAGCAGAATATGGAACTGTGGATAGTGCCACCCTCATCGTGGAATCAAATTACTTCAGTGCCGTTAATTTGAAAATTGTGGTATTAATTTTATATTTATGATTATTAATGTAAGTACATTTTTCCAAATTAATTTTTGATTTTCTCGGTTGAATTGAATAAATTAGAATTCTGCGCCGAGGCCTGATGGTAAAAGGGTTGGAGCTCAGGCAGCAGCATTGAGAATAAGTGGAGACAAGGCGTCTTTCTATAATGTCAAAATTTATGGATTTCAAGATACTCTTTGTGATGACAAGGGAAAACATTTCTATAAAGACTGCTATATTGAAGGCACTGTTGATTTCATCTTTGGCAGTGGCAAATCCATCTTTCTGGTAAACACATAAAAAACCATCCCCCACCCCGAATCTGTCTCTCTCTCCCCCTCCCATTGTGTTAATGGCACATGTATTAATTTAATCTTATCTTCAATACTCATGTATAGATATCTTCTTAACTGTATGCAGAACACGGAGTTACATGCCGTCCCCGGGGATCAGCCGGCAATCATCACTGCACAGGCAAGGAAAACTGACTCGGAAGACACGGGATACTATTTTGTGAACTGCAGGGTGACAGGCGGCGGCGCCTTTTTGGGCAGATCATGGATGCCTGCAGCTAAAGTGGTGTTTGCTTACACTGAAATGGGTGATGCTATTCACCCTGAAGGATGGATCCTTGTAAAACCTGAACACGAAAGGTCAGCCATTTGGTTTCCTTTCATCTACTTACTAGGTATGCAGTCTACGTCGTAGTTTTGGTGTTATTGTTTATTGTTATGTTTATGCAGCACGGTTAGGTTCTCAGAGTATAACAATAAAGGACCTGGAGCGAACATGGAAAAGCGAGCTAAATTCGTTAAGAGGCTATCTGATGCAGAAGCCAAACAATCCATTAGCCTTGGCTCTATAGAGGCTTCGAAGTGGCTGCTTCCTCCTAGAGTCGTCGGCCTACCGTAGTTTAAAATCTATTATTTCAGTTTGTAGTCTTTAGGAAAATAAAAATTTTCGACTCTAACGAGTGTGTTATTAGACTTGTCACCAGAATAAAAGACAGTCTGCGACATGACGGCATGATTACTACAATCAAATCTAGGGAAAAGTACTAGTTTTTACCTGTAAATTTTTCATATAATCTTGTGCCTTTTAAGGCTTCTCTTGTATTTAGTATTGTCGTATGGGACACGATGGCCTTTGAGCTATTAGTCATACTTTAGTCTTTTGCCTTTCAAGGCTTCTCATGTATCTATTATTGTTATATGGGACGCAATAGCCTTTGAGCTATATAATCATCCTTAATATCCTGATCTATGTATTTTTTATATTAATTACAGTATTTTTCAAAATATTGGCTGCTTCTCAATGTATGTATAAGATGATTTGTGTAAAACTGACATATATACACAACTTGGTGAAATCATGTCCAACATTTATTTGTTCCCATGCTGATCTATGTATTTTTTATATCAATTACAGTATTTTTCAAAATATTGGCTGCTTCTCAATGTATGTATAAGATGATTTGTGTAAAACTGACATATATACACAACTTGGTGAAATCATGTCCAACATTTATTTGTTCCCATGCTGCATTGAATTAAGGGTATGGCCTTTTTGCCAAATCTTTTGAAAAGTCAAAAGCTATTTTTGAGACAGATCATTTTCAATAATGATGTAGATTGGTATCTTCAAAACCACTATTACATTCTCATTTACATTTTGATAAATTTAAATCCAAATTCTGTCTCAATGGAAAGATCTTAATTCAATTTCTACAAAAAGTAAGAAACTTAGGCAGTTAGCTAACAACTAACAAGTAACAATCACCATGTCATACTTTACCAAGAAACGGGCACCATGTCATACTTTACCAAAATCTATTTTTAATAAGGAACAAATTTATGTATTTCACTAACCAAAATTAATTTATTGTGCATTAAAGATTAGAATTCGATTGTTTTTTATAATGTTTAGAGTAAAGATTATACAATTTCAAAATCAATCATACTATAGTATCAGATGTCTTGACATAATGTCACATGACATCATATTATTGAACAATTTAAGTTCTAACATTTTCCTTCTGGTAAAGTATAGGAATGGACACAATGGGTGGCATGGGGGTCACGTGACCCTCCAACTTTGGGCAATTTTTTAAAAAATAATAATAAAAATAAAATCTTTTTACCACCATTAAATTTTCTATATTTTTATCTCAATTTTCGAAGTCATTACAAAATACCAAAAGAAGTCGAAATATTGTATTCTTAATATCATTTCGAAATTTTCACGACCTAGTTTTCTACAACGTTAATGGCGCGTGAAACGATCAACCGTTCTAGTATTTTGAAAATTTCGACAACGTTCTAACTTTTGAAGTTTTCCGATGATCATGTGCTAGTCGAATCCATAAATCGTCTAAGTCATTTCGAAGCTCGTTTCAAAAATTATATTATAGACATATTGAATGGTTCAAACAAATATCAAAGATTAGCTAAATGTGTGTCTAACATGTGTTTTAAAGAAAGGCGTCTAACTCATCTTTTCTTTAAAATTTCATTAACATTTAATATTTTTTGTGTGACAAATTTCTCAAATAATTTACATAATTTTACATGTGGTATGAAATTAAAAAATTTCGAAATTTTACACTCAAAAAAGTCATACACCATTCAAATTTTTGGATGTAAAATTCAGATATAAATTTACATGGGGTATGAATTTTATTTTATTTTTTTGGATGTAAAATACCATACAACATTTTTACAAGTTTGATTGTGCTTTCCTAACTCAAAATGTCTGCTTTCGCCACTAGCAGAGATGATTCCCTTCAAAATTGTTTTATTAGCTTAAAATTCTGTTTCAAGCAAGCCATAAAGAGCCAAAACAAAACGGGCCTCAAATTTTCAAAGTTGTTGTTGAAGGCAAAACGGCTTAACAGCAAGCCCACCGATCATAAATGATCGGCTCGGTCCCTTTCTGAAACGAACCGGTTTATTCGCCGCTAGATGACAAAAGGCAGAAAACAAGGCCTCACTGTTGCTTCCAAGGCGTCCACAACCCATTTTATCCCTCTCCACTTCTTTCTCTCTCCGAAAACCCAATTCAACAATCCAAAATCACCAGACCTCAAGTTTCAGTGAAAACTTGAGCAGTGGGCACGGATTTGTCGGTGATTTTGGAGCCAGGGACCCCCATTTCCAGCAGAGATAGAGAACAATTTTGGTGAGAAAGTGCTTGGAAATGTAGGACCCCCATTTCCAGCAGAGATAGAGAACAATTTTGGTGAGAAAGTGCTTGGAAATGTAGACACTGGGCATAAGATTTTGATTCCAACTGCGGCCGCTCTCTCTCTTTCGCAACAGCAGTGTTCTCCCATATCTCATCTTCAGGGTCTGTGGAAATGAGAGATTTCAAGTGTGCGGCTGAACTCATTAACCGGATATGCAGGTTGTAGAGTCTACGGGGCATTTTCCTACTCTTCACCTAGAGCAGCCCAATCAAGTTAGAGCTGAACTATGGACTGCTTCAATTGGAAAGATCACCGAGCCAGATTATTTACTTCTTTTCTGAACCAGCTTTCACATCTTATAAACATTGGTTTTTTGCATTTTGAGTGAGGATCAAGTCCCTTTTTCATTCGGTTATAAAAAGACTTACGTCCTCTTGAGCTCCACACAAGGGGCTCCAGCACTGTCAATAACTACAAATGGATTACAAGAATTCCCCAAATTTACAGAACGCACACAAGCGCAAAAATTCATACGCCATAATGTCAAACTTCAAATTTCTACCAGCCGCAATGCTTTTCCATCATCTGTATTCTTTGCTGACTAAATTGCATGAAATCCCATGAGGTTGCCGCAATGCTTTTCCATCATCTGTATTCTTTGCTGACTAAATTGCATGAAATCCCATGAGGTTACATCGAAATGATTTCTTATCTTGCAGTACTAAGTTGATTTGATTAATGCAGTTTCGTAATCAAATGTTGCCGCTAAAATAGACGAGATAAAAACTACAGATCTTGTCCCCAGAAAGAGTGTTTGGGCATTACTGAAGAATATTTTTAGTACCACTGTAAGCTCTTTTTTCCAGCCAATTTAATGATGCCCTTTACAAAATCATTACATTCAAAGACTGTAATGAAATCCAATTCAAGGGAATGATCAATTGTACCTAATATAACTTGTACATGCATTCTTTGGATAACATTTAATCAACATATAATCAGCAGAAATCAGTTAAACAAAAATATCTTTGCAATGATGAGTAGTAGAAAAAAAATATTGAATTTTCGCGTATATAAGAGACCTAACATACAAACAATTAAGCAAAATAGAAATCATTTATTAATAAATCATCAATGCGTAACATAAAAATATAAGGTCCAACTTCGAGGCCTCAGACAACAAATCCTCCAAAAAAACTCAAAAATATATCAGTAAAATGGAAAAAGGGAACCAGGGGAAAATGGATGGGTCGATAGTGTGCTAATTGAGAGGAAGATGGACACGGAAACTAGTAGTCGCATGCGTCCGGCAAACTGGGCAGCACCTGGTTGCCTCTGCCCGGTTTACCTCACAACGTGGGCAGATGCAAACATGGCAACATGGCCACAGCATCACTGTCGCAAGCCTGCTCTCGCAAACTTTGCACTCGAGGTTCACACTGAAATCCCGCTCGCGATCCACATATGATGACTCGGCGTCGTCCTCCTGTCTCCCCGGGTTTGGACCTTCTGACATAGCTGTACGTAGTTCTCCCCGTAGACTGGTTACCAATTGCTCAGTCGACTTCAACCTGCCCGATAAATTTTGTCCGTCTGCTCTGAAATGTGACACCAACTCTTCCAACTTCTTGTTCCTACCAAATAAACGTTGTGCCTCGGCTCTGCAATTCGACAACATCTCTTCCAACTGCTCGTTCTCATGTGCCATTTTGATCAGTTCCATCTCTTGATCCTTCAGTTTTTTGGCCACTCTTTCCTCTGCCGCGCACTGAAGCATGTTGTAGTGCATCGCCCACATTCCGGCTAATCCTCGCCTCAAATTTTCGTTCTGCTCGAGTTTTAACGGCCACATTAGTTACACTCGAAAAAACCGTAAAAACAGAAGAAAGAAAGAAAAATCATTACATGAGTGTGGATCATTTGATCAACTTGAACACTCAGATCTTGCACATTTGGGGCGAGAATACTGCTATCAGCCTCAGTTAGCATGGCTGTGAAAGATTTGAACGGAGCAATTATGTTCAAAATTTCTTGTGCATGGGATTTCCCAGCCTCTGCAACTTGATTCATTTTTCTTTTCCGTGATTCTTTAGCATCTGCCAACAAAAGTAACTCGTGTAATCCAAACAAAGAACAAAGTGGTTACATACACATATACACACATACCTCCATTAATGTTCAACATTGCAGAATTTTTGAACTTTCGAAGAAATGGAAGATTTGCGGTGCAGTAGTTTGACAGTTTCTGGAGGGAAAAAAGTGACAAAAGAGATTAAACTCTACTACAACCTCATCAATCAAATAACAGTAAAATCGAAAAAGGAAGTGCATGATAAAGTGTGTGTGTGTGTGTGTGTGGAGCGACGGAAACCTGTTGAAGAACAGAAGATGGTGTGGGTCAGTGCGTGGGAATGATAAGCGGCCATGGACGATGATTATAAAGAGATTGAATCGGTGCTTGGCGGCCTTTTGTAGAACGGACACGATGGATCATACCAAGAGACGTGAATTTCTTGGAATCACTTCGCAAAATGGAAACAAATTTGAATGCGAAGTGTACATAATCAACACCGGTTTCAAAGATTGGGGCACATCAATAAATTATCAGCGAAGACTATAGAAAAGTATACGAAAATGGGGGGGAAAATATGTAGATAATAGTTGTTTTCTTTTTTATCCTTAATTTCATTTTTATCAAATCATGGATTGATTTGTCTGCAAAGGTTTCTTATTAGTAATTTATGTTTATTCTATAATTCTTCTTTTGAAAAGGAAAAAAAAAGTATAAATCTTTTAATTGTGGGAATGCTCCCATTGTTTTGGGAGTAAAGAAAGGGTTCTATGATTCTATCTATGATCATCTTTTCAGGTCAAATTCTTTCTTTTGCTTTTATGTTTCCTCCTTTAAAATGGATTACATTTTAACTAAAATCGTTCATTGTCGGAAAAATTATGTTTATTCTTGCAAATATTCAAACTAAGTAAATGTTATTAAAATTAATTTATTGAGTTTGATGATAATTAGTAAGGTCTGGTGTAGTTGAAATAAGTTCTCCACAATTTCACTAACTTTATTTATTTTGACAATTTCTCTTGTATTATCACTTTGACGATCAAGCAAGTAGTTTGACAGAGATAATAGCAATGTTTGCTATGAAGCACGAAGAGGTGGAATACTTTCTTCTACTTGCTATTTAAAAGTCATTTTACGATACCAAATAAATAAATAATATATATATATATATATATA